AGCTGCCTCAGACGTCTTGTTGGGGTTAGCAAGTCAGCGTGCTACTTTACTCCCTGGGAACCAGGAGCCGCTCGGAGAAGTGCTGGGGTGAAACCCCCAGCAAAGCCGTGCGCTCTCTCAGAGCTGTGGCTTTGCCCAGAGGCGGCCGCCAGCCCCCGCGGGAACGCACCGGGAATCAGGCACAGCCACGGTGGCCCCAGTGCCCGCCCAGGGCTTTTCCCGCGTGACTCCCTCTCCAGGGGACATTCTCGAGGGTGGGCCCCTGCCTGCCTTCCCCACACGTGCGAGCACACAGACCCCTACTGAACACGAGCCGCTGTGTGCTGTTCGGGGAGCATGGAGTTACCACGGACGCGCGTTTCTCACAGACCACGGGCCCGGGGAGAGCCCCCTCCCACGCTGTCCCGTGCTTTGTCCCACTTCGAGAGCATCTCCATCAGAAGTCTGAGAGTTGTTGGGGCCGGCGCCGTGGCTCACTTGGTTAATCCTCCGCCTGTGGTGCCGGCATCCCATATGGGCACCGGGTTCTAGTCCCGGTTGCCCCTCTTCCAGGCCAGCTCTCTGCTGTGGCCCGGGAGTGCAGTGGAGGATGGCCCAGGTGCTTGGGCCCTGCACCCCATGGGAGACCAGGAGAAGCACCTGGCTCCTGGCATAGCTCTGGCCGTAGCGGCCATTTGGGGGATGAACCAACAGAAGGAAGCCCTTTCTCTCTGTCTCTCTCTCACTGTCTAACTCTATCTGTCAAATAAAAAAATATAAGTTTGAGAGTCGCACAAGCGTATGAGGAAAATGTGAGAACTGAGGCTCTGTGGAATGACAGGGACAGCACGGAGGCCTGGGAGAGGATGGTGAGAGAAGCCGGGTCAGGACCCCCGGGGTCAGGGACAGCCAGGAAACACCTGCCGGCCGGGTGCTGACGGCGGAGGGAGCGGGGCCGACTGCTCGCGTGGCCCGGCCGAGGCCTCCTGGTCCCCCGTAACGAGCAGCTCCACAGCACGTGCCGAAGGCAGCTCTCCAGCCTGGCAGACGCCCGCGCCAGGCCTGCTAGGCCTTGGGATGCCCTGGTGGCTCGTTTCTACAAATACTGGCTGACTCGCTGATTACTTCCAGGCACGGCACACTCAGGGGTTTGCCGAGAAGGAAGAGGTGGCGATGGGAGTGTCGTGGGTCCAGGAATCCGTAAAGTAGCAAAAAGCTCGTTACCTGTTCCAGTAAGCATTCCCGTTCCTCCACAAGCTTTTTCAACCTGACATCTAAAGAAACCAGAAAGACACGGTTTAGGTGACTCAGCGGAGCACGCCGTTCACGCGTGGCTGGATGGGGAGGGGGTGCCGGGGTTAGTGAGATGGAGGATGAGGGTGATGCACGTACCATGGTGAATGAGGCCACAGACAGCACTGGGGGCTCAGCCTCCCAGACATGCTTCTCGTCAGGAGCAGCGTCCGGCTGCATGCAAACGGGCTAGTCTTCTACCTTAGGGCGGCATGCAAGAACGCTACGGCCACACCACACTGCAACACAAGACCTCGCAGGCTTCACAGCCCAGCACCGTTAGCAAGGGACCGACACGCCGACCCGTCGTGATGTGAGCGCCTTCCCTTCCACACCCGCGTCCCCGAGGCACTGCCCTCAGTTCTCACACCCGCGATGTCAGAGATGACTAAATGTTTGCAAGTCAGACATCCACGGGCAACACATTTGCTAACTCGGTTATCCAACGCTGGTGTTTTAGGTTTCTGTAACTGCTTGGCCCCAGACAGAAGGGGTGCATATACACAAGTCTCAGGACACCCCCACCTATCTCTTGGCAGGGCCTCAGGTACTGCGACCTTCCCAGAGTCACCGGGGGGAGCCCAAGGTCTGGGGTAGATCCCACATCAGTTTAAAGGCATGTGACGATGATGATGGCGACACCAGCGCGCCCTGCACAACTGCTCTGTGCCAAGTACTGTTCTAGCAGCTTCCGTGACCTGAGCCTGTCCAGCCCTGGTAGTCCTCCAGGTGGGCAAACCCTTCCAGGACAGACGAGGACCAGGGCCCAGGAAGGTTTGGCAACTTCCCTGCGGGCTCCCAGCGGGTCTCAGGGCTGCTCCCCGAGCACTCTGCTCTGCTGACTTTCCCAGATCTGCGCCGGTACCTCCGAGCAGAACCCTGACCCCGGCCAAGGGCCCTGACCCCGGCCAAGGGCTCTGACCCCGGCACGGGGCTCTCAACCCCTGAGGCCACTGCTCTCCTGCAGGATTGCTCCAATTTCTTGTGGAGTAAAAATCACCTTTGATGAGCCACGCAAGAGGAAGACAATTCATATCAAATGCATCTCGTTCTCATTTTTCCATGCAGCATTATAACCCAAGTTACATGCCTCCTCTGATCTTTCCTGCAAAGACCCTCAGCTGCCATTCTGAAAGGCACAGTGACACAGTAAAGACACCGGAGAAAGTTGAACGTAACATAAACCTAGGACCCTCTGAATGCCACTTTAATGTGCACACGGCTCGATAGCTTCTGACAGAGGTTTTGTTCTTTCCCTTCCATAAATCCACTCGACACTGAAACAAATGTTTTTGTGGTTATAAGCCCTGTTTTAGCCAATGCCACTTTCCGTTTCATCTTGTATATTTTACACTCCTACGTAAACTACACTGAATGCAACAGAAAGTGATCTTGAAGCTGGGGTTATGTGTATGACACTCTTATCGGGGGACATCAAATGTCCCAGATGGCTGGCAGAAAATTCACGTTACGGTGTAGCAACCGCGGCAGTGAGGTGAATAAAATAGCCTGACCTCCAGCCACACCGAACGCATGCGAAAAACAGAGAGAAGTGGGACTTTTAAGGAAGAGAAAGTTTTTCAAACTTGGAGAATAAAACTACACAGCTTTAAGAAAGTGGAAAAAAGAAAGAAGCAAGGTATTTGATAGGAAGACGGTGGGAGGACTGCATTTTACAGTCTAACTTACAGGCCGGCAGCACAGTGCTGGTACTGGGAGACGTATTTAACAGCACTGGAAACCCAGGGCTGCCTCAGTGGCGCGGTGGGCTGTGCGGTCTGAGAGGCCCAGGTATAAAGAACTGTGACTATGCAACTGAGGTTGGGGGCTACAGACATCACACGCAGAATTCCGATAAACTTCCCGTGGGCATTTCACGGACCCCTGAAGTAGGAGAGAGAGGAGTGAGGCCTTCTAGAGAGTGCTGGGGGTGGCCAGTCCCGGGCTGCCGGCGCCATCCCCGGCCAGCAGACGCCCTCAGGCTGACCCCTCAGCGAGCCCGACTTCTCCGAGGGTCTTTCCCGGAGCTGAGGCTCGCTGCCGGCTCCGAGGCAGCTCCGCACCCCAACTCCCAGCAGCAGGCGAGGCGCGGCGAGGTGAGCGGCACCTTTCAGGAGCGGATCGTCCATCCTCTGTCCACCCCGGGGGAGCCTCTCCCGTCACTCCCCAGGAAGGTGCTGACCGCCTTCTGCCTCGGCCCCCTCCTTGCACTAGCAGCTCAGCCTCCCCCCAGGCCAGCCTCCCGCCCACACGTGGCACACGTGGCACATGTGCCTTCTTCCAGGGCCAAGTGGGACACTCCCAGCCACTCACATCTGGAGATGTAAGAGGGGTGGCAGACTGGGAGGAGGAGAAAGAGGCTTTTTTTCTCTTGAAAAACCAAGTTTTCTACACATACCAGGGTCCTTTAAAAAGTTCCTGGAAAAACTGAATTTTTAGAAGGGAAGGATTTTGCTGCAAGTTAATTTTGAAATCACATCTATGAGGGATCTTCAAAACATCTGTGGAAAATGCAAAAAGCGGACGTTTTAATTCCTCTTCCATGGAAGTACCCACGGACATCTCGTTCTTAAAAACCCTTTGATAAGGTTTATCACTTTCCAGCCTTTTGAATTTGAAAGTCTGTGACCTTTCCCCACTGCTACGTGGCCTGGAACTGCACCTGACGTGGGACACTTCTGAAGGGAGCCTTGTCTACCCCATGCACAGCAGCCGCGCCCGGGCCTGGGGCTTTCTGACTCAGGCTATCAGCGAGCCATGTCCTGAACGGTCTCGGTTGCTCCGGGACATGGTTAACAGGGAACCTCTCTAACCTTTTCCGAGTTGGAGTCTCCTGACACAGGAATCTCTAAATTGCCACACAGACTCCCATGCCTCCTTAAACAGTCTCCCCACAGCAATCACCGTGCCGGGGTGGGGGTGGGGTGTCACTACCCTGGCCGAGGTCCACGTGGGGGCTGCCGTCTGGGCTCTCGGTCCTTCTCCTCTGCTCGCCTCCTGGTTCTCAGCTGTCTGCTCCCTATTAGGGAGCTGGGTCCCACCTGCGTGTCCCCTGGCAGAGCCGCGTGCGCCCTACGGGACCAGAACCCTTGATCCATGCTGTGAATGAGGCTGCAGGGCGGCCAAGCCGAGGCCCTGAGACGTGAACAGTCCGGGAAGGGAGGGAAGGCCCGGACACGGGTGGCGGCTTCACCACCGAGTGGCTTTAGCTGTTGGGTCGCTTCCCAAGAGGGCTTTAAAAGCAGGAGCGAGAGCTGTTTTCCGATGTGCGTTCCAGTATAAACCAGCTTTGCTAAACTTAGACTCACAAACTCGCACCCCTCGAGGCCCTGCAGTGGCTGGGACAGGACTCCACTCACGTCTCTACTTATATGGCCTCGCGGAGACTCGGTCCCATTCTCTGCACTGCAGGACGCTTCGCAGAAATGGCCACGTCTGTGTGCCACGTTCAGCGTACTCTCCACACCATGCCATGCTTGCCATGGGATGCAGACTCTCCCCGCTGGGGTTCAGCAGGGCCCCCCCCATCACGGGAGAGGATGTGAGGGTGAGCTCACTGCTCCCAAGGGGGGCCCCGCCCTAGCTCCAGGCTGGCTCAGGATCCCGACAAGGCCATGGGCAGCGGGGCCTCGGTGGAAGCCTGGTGGGAGTGAGTGGGCCGGGAGGCGATAGCAGGTGCGCCCACAGGCAGAGTCGGCCCCGAGCAGCCCAAAGATGGAACCACAGGCTTGTGACACCATAAGATGCTTTTATTTCAATTACATTGTAACACGTAGGTCTGCCTCAAGCTTGATGGAGGTGTTGGTATTTTTGCACTCAATGATATCTTGTAACAGTGATATGAGTTTACACAATCTCAGACGATGTCACACCGTTCACAATCGACATCCTTGTGTGATTGCATATTTTACAATGATTTTTTATTTACCTATACAATTACTTGATTTTTTAAATGCTTCTTTATATAGAAAATATATATTTTCTGTAGGCAGATTGAAACAATTTTGCAATAAGAATATACTGAGAAATAACAAATAAAAATATTTATACCAGGATACCACAAGAGATTCAACTCTTCAGAATGTCCTATTATGGTCAAATGAGTCTGCAGGGGAACAAGTAAGCTACTGCGTGGCTCTTCTGAACAGTGATCAGACTGCAACAGAGGGAGGCTTGGTCGTAAAGGTTAAACACATTTCAAAGCGGCTGCTCCCACCCAATACTGCAGCAGGAAGTGCAGTTTCAGTATATGTCGCTTCCAAAAAGCCCTGCAAGCATTCTTGGCATAGAGTGAACCTGGTGCACCATCACGAAGAGCGTTTAGAACAGCCTGCCAGGCAGACTCGGGTTCTCAGGGAGGAGTGGGTCGGAGGTAGAGGCGAGGGCCGTCTCCCTAGCGCATCGGACATTCGCCAGCCCTGAGGTGCAAGTGTGCCCACGCAGGGACCTGCGTGCCGCTTGCTCATTCTTCTTGACATCAGACACCACACGGGTGGGAATGCACACATGAGACCAGATACAGAAGTAGACACATTTCCGTGGGTCCCTCCCCTTATTTAAATACCCATTCTACCCTCGACGCAGAAACCTAAGAATGCTATTTGGTCATCTGAGTCAGATGTAATATATTTGGTCACAGATACCCACATTCGTATCAGCGAAGGCAAGCGAGGGATCTTCTCACTTCAGGCTGGGATATGAGCAGAATGCGTTGTTGGATGCTCCTGGGATGATCTCAGTGAGGACCTGGACTGAAGCAAACACGCCCCTGCTAACCTGGCCGATGACCCCGATGATTGATACAAGCCTGCAGGTAACAGTCAGAGTAGCAGATAACTGGGGGTGACTGTCAGCCACCAGCAAGGGTGGGGACAGGTGGAGGTGACTGTCAGCCACCAGCGAGGGTGGGGGACAGGTGGAGGTGACTGTCAGCCACCAGCGAGGGTGGGGGACAGGCGGAGGTGACTGTCAGCCACCAGCGAGGGTGGAGGTGACTGTCAGCCACCAGCGAGGGTGGGGACAGGCGGAGGTGACTGTCAGCCACCAGCGAGGGTGGGGACAGGCGGAGGTGACTGTCAGCCACCAGCGAGGGTGGAGGTGACTGTCAGCCACCAGCGAGGGTGGGGACAGGCGGAGGTGACTGTCAGCCACCAGTGAGGGTGGGGACGGGGCCCTGAGAATCAGATCGACTGTGCAAAAGTGCCAGGCCTGCCTCCGCCGTCCTGCCGGCTCAGGACAGGGCGCAGTCCTCTTTGCCTCTGCCCTTCTCGCTTCCTGCTCTCCCGTCCACTCTGCTTTCCACACTGAGGTCGCCCCCCTCTCCTGCTGGGGCGGACGGGTCATCGTCCTCCAGGCTCACGCTGTCTAAGGCCTCCCTGGCCGGCTGACTCAGCTGCTGGGGCATCTGCAAGCCGTCAGCGATGTCCGGGGAGGGAACGCTGTCGGTCCCGCCCCCGTTCTCTGGCTCTGGGGCCCGGCCTTGGGCAGCACCATTCTTCTTGGCGTCATCGTTTACAACACTTCCATCTGATTCTTTATCACTGCCGCTGGCGCCCGGGGACGGCACAGTGTCGTCACCGAGAGCAAATGTGTCTCCCTTGGCCACTGCGTCTCCGGCCTTTGCGTGGACTCCGTCACCCTCTTGGCTGCGTTTTCCGTCCGACTCAGTTTTAGGATTTCCTGGGCATTCAGCGTGTCCACCGCCTCCGGCCACGGCCGTCTGCTCTGGACTCTCTGTCGCCGCGTCCTGCGCTTCCGCAGCCGGGGCCTGGCTGCTGCACGTTCCCTGCTCTTCCGCAGCGGCCCCCGGCCCCTCCTCAGTGCCTGGCTGGGTGTCTGCGGCTGCTGGAGACTTCTTCTTCTTGTTCTTCTTTTTCTTGTTCTTCGGCTTCTTCTGCAACGACTCCACTGCCTCTCGCTGCGGGTCGTTCTGGTCTTCATCGGGCTCTTTTGTATCTGGGGGGTCACTTCCGGCACCTGCCGTCTGAGGGCCGGGGGCTCCCTGCCGGGCGCTCTGGGCTGCTGGAGACTCAGGAGTGGGCTGGCCGTCTGGGGGGGTGGGGGCCTCGCCCGTCGTCTCTGCTTCCCCCTCCTCCTCTGTGCTGTTCCCCCTGCTGACTCCGGTGCCCTCAGCCGGGCCCTCCCGGGGCTCCACGACTTCCTGGGTGGCAGAGGCGCCCTCTGGACCACGCCCTGTGCCGGGGCCCAGCTCTCCGGGGCTGTCTGCCGCACATCCGTCACCAGGACTCTGAGCCTCCTCACTGCGCTCCGTGCCCGCGCGCCTGCTGTGAGCCACCCCCGCTCCCGCCACGCTCTCTGCGTGGTCTCCACTTGGCTGCACGGTGTCTGCACCGCTCACCCTTCTGACTTCAGACGTCTGCGAAGCAACAGGCTCCTGACACGGTTTGGGACCAAACCCATCCGAGTTGTTTTCCAAATCCTCCGGTTCCTCTTGCTCCTGCGTTTCCACAGAATTTTCACTGTGGCTTTGGATGTCCAGCCCACTCCCGGTGCCTGGGCCTCCGCTACCTGAATCCCTCGCACAGTCGGACGCGGCCAGGGACGGCCCAGAGCCAGCAGCCTGCTCTGGACTTTCCAGGGAAGAGGCGCTGCCCACCACTGGGCTCTGAGCCTCCTCGTCTTTGGCACTTTCTAGCGCTCCTAGGGACGGGGCACCGTGCTCCGCGGCTCTCCGGTCCTCCATGCTCTCGCCAGGACGTAACACCTCTCTGTCCACACTGTCCTCTACCGCGTCCTCCTTGTGCTGGGCTCGCTCAGCATTCTGCAACATCTCTCTTTTCCCCACATTCTCCACCTCCACTTCCTTGGCTCTCCCTAAAAGACCATCGAGAGAATTGAGGGGATCCTGTGATGTGCGACCACTTAGTACGCATCAAAACGCAAATACAGGTTCTGATTCCCACCCAACCCTGTTCCTGGAGAGAGAGAGACAGAGAGAGTCATCAGAGACCACGGGAAACAGGTGACTTTGCCAGCTGGGCGGCAGAGCAGCGGCGGCATTAGCACAGCTGTCGTCAGCAGAGGGTGCTACCGCGTGGCGAAGGCAGGTGTGGCCGCGTCCGTGTGAACCGGCTCCTAAAGGGGACGTGGGGCTTGTACAGCCAGGAAGCGCTCTGGATTGGGCAGCTCGACAACCCCCAAGCATGGGCTGGGGAAAGGACTCCAGGTCCCTTCTGAAGGCCCCTGACTGCCCACGCTTCCCCAGGTGTCGCTACCCTGCCTGCCCCGCAGCCCTCAAAGTGGCTTTTAGGAACTCTGCCTCAAGGTCGACCTCAAGGACAACACCTTGAAATAGTTCATCCAAAAGAAATCCACCTTCCACCACCCCGCCGCTGTCTTCCTGGAAGGGCATCCCAGGCAGGTGCCCCACCCGGCGCTCCAGGCCCCACAGGGAGAGTCCCAGCAGGTGGCAGCAGCTCCTGGTCGCCACCATGACTGCCACTTCGCTAAGTGAGGGATCATTTCTCGGCCGGAGGGCACAGCACTGTTCTCGACGGACAACTCCCCTGCACGTGGACACGGTGCCGCTGCAGGTCCAAGCTGGACCATCTACGACTCAGCCAACTGCACACTTAGCCCAGGCAAAACTGGAGACAATACTGGGATTCTTTGGAGAGTTAGGTTGACTTCACCCTTTAAAAATCTATTACTGGATATGTTCTGTAATGTGTATTTTATATTAAGTAGCTATGCCTGTATAAATTAAGAGCAAATGTATATTGGGAAGTTCCCAGTTTTTACTGATGGGACATGTGAACGAAAAACACACAGAGCCCACTCACAGAGCTGCTGTTTCTGATTTGCTAAGCATTCACAATGGCTGTCAAGATTTTTAAAATGTGTGTGGACCAGAGCAGCGAGATCAGACTCCTACACAGAAATTGATTCATCTTTTTTCAACAACTCTGACACGGTTACAAGAGCTGCGTGGTTCCGTGAGGGCGCAAAGGCAACGCATGACCTCCTCGGGACACGGTCCTGAATGCTGGGACCTCTATTTCCAAAATGTGACAGCTTCTGAATCAAAATTACAAGTCAGGGGCCCGGGCCTCGCTCCTCGTCTCAGCGTGAAACCTGCAAGGCAGCTGTCACAGTCACAAGGCCAAACCCGGGGGCTTAACCCAAAGTCGACTCTTGCGACAAACAAGCTGCCATGTGTGACCAGGTGGGTGCAGCCTGGCTCCCACTGGGAAGGCTCTCCCAGCACTGACTGCGCCCATCACTGAGGGCCACCCGCCCACCCTGGGCGCGACGTGGGGCAGCAACCACGCCGCGCTCATCAACAAGCAGAGTGCGGGGTGCGCAGGCACCTTGGGCCTCAAACTGCTGCGCGTGGGCTGGGCAGGGCGGGCCTGCAGAAACGCCCGCTGGCCTTCCCGACGGCCTCTCTACTGACTTCTGACAGGGCTGGGCAGGGCGGGCCTGCAGAAACGCCCGCTGGCCTTCCCGACGGCCTCTCTACTGACTTCTGACAGGGCTGAAACACAGCAGGTTAGAAAGCCACAGCTGGCACCCGTCTGACGAAGGCTAAAGGGTCCCCTCCACACTGGCACTGAAGTTCAAGGCTGTCTTCCTGTGTTCACAGTCTCACTGGGCAGCTTTGAGAAGCAGAAGACGTGTTCTCGAGCCATGGGTGGTGAGCACTACAGAGACGCATGCCAGAGGGTGCATGGGCGGCCACGTCGCCGGGCGGGGTTACCGTGGCGTGACAGAACATGGCATGCCGTGCGGCTGTTAATGGATCAGTGACAATGACCTCGATGTCACTAACGCATGGAGGGTGGGTGGAGGCTGGTCAGGAAGGTGAGAGGGCCCAGGGCAGCACACTTACCTAGCGCCCCGTCCCCGGCCGACTGGAGGGCACCCATCTCTTCTTTTGTAGGGTGGCCAACGTTATTCGGAGGGTCTGGGGTCTCTCCGTTGGTAGCTGCTTCTGAATTTAGGATGATTCCATGTTTCTGTGGACAAAAACAGTCCTGTTGCTGTGCTCACTCCCGGGCGTTAGCTTAAGGAAACTCGTTCCTCGTGTGGAGGGCACGCAGACACGGGCGTGCTGGGGCCCAGGCGGCAGCCTCCTGTCCACACCGTGCCTCAGGATGACTCCCTCCACGGGCGACTTCTCTCCCACGGGGCCCCACGCAGGACTTCACTGCTGGTGACAAGACCCTCTGGACAGACATCTCCTCATGGGAGGGGCGACGGCCCGGGGCTGCCACGGAGCGGATCCGGGCAGGTCACCCACCGGGGCCCTTGCACCGGAAAACCCGCGTTGGGTTCTTTAAAGGGAGAGACCCTCATACGTGTCCCGAGAGGTGGCTGAGATGTTTGGGACTTTCAGAAATCGTCTCACTCGCGCTGACACGCTGAAACCCGGCCACACGCTGCACCCAGGGCCCCCGCCCACTGCCCAGCACGAGCCCACCACCCCCTGCTGCCACGGCCCCTCCCTGAGCCTGAGGAGTCCCCGGCCCTGGACTCACAGCTGGGTGAGCAGCACCACGGCCAGGCCTGGCCCTTCCCTGACACCGCTCACAGCTCCGAGGGCGGCACCACGGCCAGGCCCGGCCCTTCCCTGACACCGCTCACAGCTCCGAGGGCGGCACCATGGCCAGGCCCGGCCCTTCCCTGACACCGCTCACGGCTCCGAGGGTGGCACCATGGCCAGACCCAGCCCTTCCCTGACACCGCTCACGGCTCCGAGGGCGGCACCACGGCCAGGCCCGGCCCTTCCCTGACACCGATCACAGCTCCGAGGGCGGCACCACGGCCAGCCCCGGCCCTTCCCTGACACCGCTCACAGCTCCGAGGGCGGCACCACGGCCAGCCCCGGCCCTTCCCTGACACCGATCACGGCTCCGAGGGCGGCACCATGGCCAGGCCCGGCCCTTCCCTGACACCGCTCACAGCTCCGAGGGCGGCACCACGGCCAGGCCCGGCCCTTCCCTGACACCGCTCACAGCTCTGAGGGCGGCACCACGGCCAGGCCCGGCCCTTCCCTGACACCGCTCACAGCTCCGAGGGCGGCACCGCGGCCAGGCCCGGCCCTTCCCTGACACTGATCACGGCTCCGAGGGCGGCACCACGGCCATGCCCGGCCCTTCCCTGACACCGCTCACGGCTCTGAGGGCGGCACCACGGCCAGGCCCGGCCCTTCACTGACACCGCTCACAGCTCCGAGGGCGGCACCACGGCCAGGCCCGGCCCTTCCCTGACACCGCTCACGGCTCTGAGGGCGGCACCACGGCCAGGCCCGGCCCTTCCCTGACACCGCTCACGGCTCTGAGGGCGGCACCACGGCCAGGCCCGGCCCTTCCCTGACACCGCTCACGGCTCTGAGGGCGGCACCACGGCCAGGCCCGGCCCTTCCCTGACACCGATCACGGCTCCGAGGGCGGCACCACGGCCACGCCCGGCCCTTCTGTGACACCGCTCACAGCTCCGAGGGCGGCACCACGGCCAGGCCCGGCCCTTCCCTGACACCGATCACGGCTCCGAGGGCGGCACCACGGCCAGGCCCGGCCCTTCCCTGACACCGCTCACAGCTCTGAGGGCGGCACCACGGCCAGGCCCGGCCCTTCCCTGACACCGCTCACAGCTCCGAGGGTGGCACCATGGCCAGGCCCGGCCCTTCCCTGACACCGCTCACAGCTCCGAGGGCGGCACCACGGCCAGGCCCGGCCCTTCCCTGACACCGCTCACAGCTCTGAGGGCGGCACCACGGCCAGGCCCGGCCCTTCCCTGACACCGCTCACAGTTCCGAGGGTGGCACCATGGCCAGGCCCGGCCCTTCCCTGACACCGATCACGGCTCCGAGGGCGGCACCACGGCCAGGCCCGGCCCTTCCCTGACACCGATCACAGCTCCGAGGGCGGCACCACGGCCAGCCCCGGCCCTTCCCTGACACCGCTCACAGCTCCGAGGGCGGCACCACGGCCAGGCCCGGCCCTTCCCTGACACCGCTCACAGCTCCGAGGGCGGCACCGCGGCCAGGCCCGGCCCTTCCCTGACACCGCTCACAGCTCTGAGGGCGGCACCACGGCCAGGCCCGGCCCTTCCCTGACACCGCTCACAGCTCTGAGGGCGGCACCACGGCCAGGCCCGACCCTTCCCTGACACCGCTCACGGCTCCGAGGGCGGCACCACGGCCAGGCCCGGCCCTTCCGTGACACCACTCACGGCTCCGAGGGCGGCACCATGGCCAGGCCCAGCCCTTCCGTGACACCGCTCACGGCTCCGAGGGCGGCACCACGGCCAGGCCCGGCCCTCCTTCCCCGACGCTGCTCACGGCTCCGAGGGCGGCCTCAGGCTGAGTCCTAGCCTTGGGTGCTCACCGCCCTGGCCCTGACTCAGCATGCAAGCAGCACACCCTGGGACGCTTCTGCTGACCATCTGGGAATGTGCCCGAGGCCACACCTCTCCTGGCACTAGGGGCACTGCCCACTGTGCATGCAGCCAACAGCTGAAGATCCCTGGACACGGCCCACACGGGACACAGACCCTTCCTCCTTCGGTACTGCCTGGGTCTTGCCCCCACCACTTACCCAAGATGCTCTTCAGCTGCAGACGCCCTTAAACGAGGCTTTAACACACACACACACACACAGATTCCTGACTCTGAGAATTTACTAATGAGCATGAGGAGAAAGTGCAGGTAATCTCGCGAGAAGTTCTTGGGGCTCAGGGCTGTTTTCAAGATCGGCTGAAGGCCGTGGGCACCCCTGCTAAAGGCACACTGACGGCACCAGCCCCATCCCTGTCCCCTGACCTAGGCTTTGCATCCAACAGAACTCCCATCATGCCGTGCACCTGACGTGGGAACCTGGCGCTTCCTACGGGGGACTTCGGCTCCGTACCTTCAGTGCCTCTTTGAGCGTGACTACTTCTTCTCTAAGGTCATCTCGTTCGCTCCGTATGGAGTCAAAGAACTCTTTCTGCCTCTCCAGTGCCTGAGCGGGCGGCAGAGGTGAGAGAGAGCGTTCGCACAGGTGAGCAGGTGGCTGGGAGGCGGCACTGGCAGACTCCCGATGCCGGGGCGCATGCACGCGCTCAGCTCCCGAGCTCACGCCACGCAGGTGCCGTGCCGGCTCCCACGCGCTCGAGCACGCCAGCGCCCGCCTCTTCCCCTAGCTTCACGTGCGGCCTCACAGCAGGCGTCAGGGTGTCCACACAAGCAGCACATGCACCCATTAACAGAGGGGACGTAAGGGACAGGGAGGGATGCATGAGAACCCCCAGGGACAACTGGCTTAGCAATCGGATGCTGTTTACACCTGGACGCTCGGTGCTGTCGCAGGTAAGCCTCCCGTCCCGTGCTCCCGGTAAGCACATGCACCCTCGCTCCTCAGCGTGGGCCAGCTAAGCGGGAACCTGCTGTGACCGTGCTGTGACCAGCCGAAGCCCCGCCTGCACAACTCCAGGGCCCCTGGCAGGAGCCGCTAGTTTTTGGAAAACTGTCAGTCATTCTGTGGGTTCCTTCCTTCCTGTGCTTCCCTCCTGCACGGACGTGGGTTGCCTCTCTCTGCTTGTGCAGGGAGAGGGGTCTGGGGAGACCCTGACCGGGGAGAGTCCTTGGCAGGGGGCGGGGGGAACCCACAGGGCATAGCCCGTGCAGCTTCCGCGAACCCTTTCGAGAAACACACCCAGGAAGCCCTGGGCAGGGGAGGGCGGGAAGTGGAACCCTGGGCCCCACAGACCTGCGCGGGCAGAGGGGGCAGCTACGGCCACACAGGCGGAAGCCCCGGGGCGGAAGTCAGCGTCAAGGTCTAGGTTAGAGCAATCTGGGTGTGTCCACTCCTTGTTAGCCGGGCGGCACGTGGGGTTCATGCGGCCCCGTGCAAGCGTCTGCGCCAAGCCCGGGCTCTTGCTAGGCAGCCCGCCCGTGTGAATCGGAGGCGCGTGGGTCCTACCCCTATCTTTTTGTCTTTCCACTCTATCGTCTCCTGAAGGTCAGAAATCTCCCTGAGAGAACTCGCCTGTTTCTGCTGCAGCTGTCGGATTTCCTGAGGAAAGGAAGAGAGAGGAGCGAGCAGGTGAAGGGGAAGCAGGAAGAGACCCCGCAGCGCGTCCCCCGCCCCGCGACCTCGGCCGCCAGCACCTGGGGTCCCTTCCTCCGAGAGCGTTTTTCCCTTTTCTTTTTTTTTTTCTTTTTTTGACAGGCAGAGTGGAGAGTGAGAGAGACAGAGAGAAAGGTCTTCCTTTTCTACTGGTTCACCCCCCCCAGTGGCCACTGCGGCTGGCACACTGTGGCCGGCGCACCGCACTGATCCGAAGCCAGGAGCCAGGTGCTTCTCCTGGTCTCCCATGGGGTGCAGGGCCCAAGCACTTGGGCCATCCTCCACTGCACTCCCTGGCCACAGCAGAGAGCTGGCCTGGAAGAGGGGCAACCGGGACAGAATCCGGCGCCCCAACCGGGACTAGAACCCGGGGTGCTGGCGCCGCAGGTGGAGGATTAGCCTGTTGAGCCGTGGCGCCGGCTTCCCTTTTCCACTCCTGAAGAGAACCAGCCCGGGTGACAGTCTCTCCTAAAGGCGCCAGTGCGGGCCATGAATGAGTGACACATCAAAAGCCAGTCCTGATCCGTGTCCTGCTGCCACGGTACTAACCGGCTAAACACACCGGCCAGTTACTCGCTCACAGTTCCGGAAGGTGGCCATCGGCTGGGAGTCTCAGGGTTGAGAATCAGTGCTGTCTGCAGGCTCCGGGGGCCCTAAGTTCCGGCCCTTCCCAGCCTCGGGAACCCACCCATGTCACCCCAACCCCACCCCCGTGCTGCCACCTTGCCTACCTCTGCCATCCCCACTGCCCTCCCTCGCGATTCCACAGGCCACTCAGGTGAGCCAGGACGATCTCCCGCCCCAGTGCCCTGAGTTTGTTCCTACCTGAACAGTCCCCCTTTCCCCAGGGATAACACGTTCCCGTCCGTCCTGCACAGGGAGCTTCCCTGGGGAGTCAGCCCGAGCGCGCCCTTTTAAGCAGACAGCTGACTTCAGTCATTGCTACAGACCGAGCTGCGTTCCCCCAGGTTCACGTGGACTCCCGATCTGAGCTGCGTTCCCCCAGGGTCACGGGGACTCCTGATCTGAGCTGCGTTCCTCCAGGTTCACGGGGACTCCCCGATCTGAGCTGCGTTCCCCCAGGCTCATGGGGACTCCCCATCCACACTGTGACCATGCTGGGAGACAGAGTCTTTCGGAGGCAACCGAGGTTAGACAAGGTCGGAAGGAAGGGTGGGGCCCTGATCCCACAGCATTAGCGTCCCTACTGGGAGCCGGCGGGGAGCCGGCGCCCCGCCACAGAAACCAGGCCCCTCTGGAGGCCCTGACTGGAGACCTCCCGCCGGTTAGAGCCGGGCCGTGTGTGTGGTGTTGCCAGCCTTAGCTGGGACAGACCTCCAAGCTCGGGGCCAGCGGCCTACCTCCAGCATCGCTTCTCTCTGCCTCAGCGCCTCCTTCACGTCGGCAAACTGGAACTGCAGGACGCTGTGGGCGTGCTTCTCCCGCTCGAACTCCTGGAGAGGAGGGAACAGCACCGAGCTGCAGGCCGCCGCACCTCGCCGGGGCCACACAGCAAGCGCGGTCGGGTGGGGGTGGCAAGCCAAGAGCCGGCAAAGCTGCGCCCCGCGTCTGGGGGCCCCCTGGGAGCTCAGCATGGGGCTCTCTCCTGCTGGGTCACAGGGGCAGCCTCTCTGCTGACGCTCTGGGACCCAGCCGACTGCCGGCAGCCTGGGGGGCCGCGGGGAGAGCCCCCCTGGATGGGGGCTGGTTGAGAAAGGACTTGGCCTTGGCTCTGGCCCGCCCTGCGGTCTCCCAGCAGTGCTGGGGCTGCCCTGTTGGCCTTGGGCCCTGTTCCACCACAACCACTCCGGTCCTCTGGAGTCAGACTTGGGGTTCCTGCCCTCCAGACGACACCTACGTGAAGGTGCCCTCCCACCTAGGCTGGGCTCAATCCGGCCCCGCGTGACCCCCGGAAGGTCCCTCCTCTCTCAGAGTGCGGCTGTCAGGAACTCTGAACAAAATTCCTCCCCAGTCTCTCAGTCCTGAAGCCGCACAGGAGGCCGAGATCTGTCCGTGGCAGCTTGGCTCCTGACCCTCGGGATGGAGGGGATCTGCCAGTGTTTTCTTAAAAGGACGGTGACACACACGAAGCTGTTGATGTCAGCATCTCTAGAAACTTGGGACAATATTCTAAGGTTTCGCAGACTAATTAAATTTTTAAAATATGAAAAACCAGTGCTCTTTGCTCCATAATACCCAGAGATCATCACCAAACCAGACTGTTTTTAATTTCAATGAACATTTGCTTCATACTGATCTCATTAACAACAAATTAATTCCAGTTGCTCTTAATGAAAGCTGCAACAAGGCTCCAGCCTCCTCCGAGCTTAATACAGATGTCTGAACCATGTCTTCCCAATCAGCAGAAAATAAAGGGAATGTAATTTTTTTAAAAGATTTATTTTATTTATTTGAAAGACAGAGTTACAGAGAGAGAGAGAGAGAGAGAGAGAGAGAGGTCTTCCATCCACTGGTTCACTCCCCAGTTGGCCACAAAGGCTGGAGCTGCGCCGATCCGAAGCCAGGAGCCAGGAGCTTCCTCTAGGTCTCCCACGTGGGTGCAGGGCCCAAGCACTTGGGCCATCTTCCTCTGCTTTCCCAGGCCACAGCAGAGAGCTGGATCGGAAGAGGAGCAGCTGGGACTCAAACCTGTGTCTATATGGGATGCCGGTGCTTCAGGCCAGTGCTTTAACCTGCTCCGCCACGGTGCCGGCCCCGGGAATGTAATATTTTAAAAAACTTTAATAGTTATGATCATGGTATTAAGAAATAATAAGGGGCTGGCGTTGTGGCATAGTGGTAAAGCCGCCACCTGCATGGCCGGCATGCCATTTGGGAGCTGGTTTGAGTCCTGGCTGCTCCTTTTCTGATCCAGCTCCCTGCTGTGGCCTGGGAAAGCAGTGGAAAATAGCCCAAGTCCTTGGGCCCCAGCACCCACGTGGGAGACCTGGGAGAGGCTCCTGGCTTCAGATTGGCACAGCTCTGGCCGCTGCTGCCAACTGGGGAGTGAACCAGCAGATGGAAGACCTCTCTCTCTCTCTCTCTCTCAGCCTCTCCTTCTCTCTGTGTAACTCTTTCAAATAAATAAACAAATCTTTAAAAAGAGAGATAATGAACGTGGGGGAATGTGTGTGAACTGGACAGTCCTGAGGCGTCTGTGCCTTCCCCAGGCACCCTGGTTCTCCCAGTGTATTCAGGGTGATGGTGATGATTTCAGCTCACACGTAAGACGCTACAGTTCTCCAGGAAAACCGTCTCTGCCTCCCATGTCGAAATTAGGCATTTCAACATTTCAAGTCCCTGGCAAAGAGCCTGGCATTCCTACTCTGAGGGGCTTACACTTGCTGGACAAGTGGAGAACACGTGTGTGTGCGTGCACGTGTGTACACATTTGCGCACGTGTGAAGTTTTGGAGACTCCTCGTGTGTGTGGATTTCAATTTTTCTGGCTCCAAAACAAACCCATCTTTCCATTCTATCTCCCCACGAACTCTGCGTGCCCGAGGGCGCTCGCGTCTGCACCGACGCCAGGGAGCGCGCGGCCGGCACGCCCGCCACGCCGGGCTCACCTTGCTCTTCTCCTCGTACTGCCGCCGGGACTCGGCCAGCTCCTCCTCGAGCTCCAGCAGCATGTCTTTGAGGGTGTCCACCTGGTACATGAAGTTCATCTTCTCGTTGTCCAGCTGGGCGTTGGACACCATGGCCTTCTTGTACTTCTCCTCCACCTCTGCCAGGGAGTCCTGCAGGGGGACGTGAAGGAAAGCTCAGTGGTGCCGAGGGAGAGCAAGGCCGGAGCAGCCCAGAGTGGGCTCTTTCCTGGAGCAAACGACCAGAAAGCAGCGCCCGGCGGGGGCCCCTTCCAACTCATCAGCTTCTCACTGCTCGGAAGCAGCTGCTGGCTGCGTGCAGGGGTGAGAGTAATTCAGAACGAGCGGGGTCTGGGCTCCAGGGTTCCGCAGCCAGACAATCTCCCCCTGCAGCGGGGCAGGGCTGTCGGCAGATTTCCGGAGTCACCGCCCAGGGTCCGTGACCCGGAGAGAGCAGTGAGTGACCGCTAATGCAGCTGAACACCTGCCCCTCTCAACAAGCCGCTGCCGGTCGACCTGCTGCGGCTTACGAACTGGGAAGAGATTACGCTGTGGATTTCTGACCCGCAGGAAAGCTAAGCAAGCTACACAGCTCTCCCTGGGCGGGTCCTGCACGGCCACAGCCCACAGCCCAGCGCGTCCTGCAACACACGCACGGCAGTGCCCTCGGGTGGCTCATACCCCGACAGGTCCCAGAACAGCACTCGGGGGCAGGGCGGGCGGCGTCCTGGTACAAACCGCCCAGAGCTACGGCGGGAGGGGAAGCTGCGTGGTCGGGCCTCGGGTACGAGGAGGAGCCAGCACGGAGGCACTTGCCAAGCAGGGTGACAATGTCCAGTGGGACCAGCGGTTCCCAAGGGGTTCCACGGCCCCCTCTGTGCCTGAATGGGAGGTCAGGTAAAAGTCGTAATTACCTCCCTGTCAAGAGAGGTGACAAACAGGAAAATGATGAATTCAAGCGACCCAAGCCACCTCTTCCGCTTGGTGCCCTCCGATACTGAACTCAGACTGCTTCTCTGGGGGTCTGGGGGAACGGGGAAGGAAGTGACCCACGCGTGCTGCAGGTGCCAGGAACACAGCCGCCCAGTACTCCCTGCCCCGTCAAGGAACGGGCGCTGCATTCCCGGTCGGCACAGCGAAGTAGCTCCTCGCCCCAGAGCAGGGTGCGAGCGCCCAGGGGAACCCACGATAACCACGTTCAGGTGCTGCTCTGTTGGCACGGTGGCCTGCCTTCGTGGGAGACAGCGGCTGTGCGAGAAGCCAGCCAGCTAAGAATACCTGTACGTAACCACCGTACACACAAGGAAGGGGCCGATGAGGGTCTGGTGTTCAGGCTGGGAAGGGCGGTGAGCACGGGACATGCACCAGGGAGCGTTAGTAACGGTTCCTAGCGGGGAGCTGCTGTTTTCAAGCCCGGGTTCAGAACTGCAGCCGGGAAAACACTGAGCGGCCCCGCGGGCTCCTGTGCGACCGGAGCCTCTTCAGGGCCCGCGTGCGCGTTCCCTGTGCTCTGCCGGGTCTTCTGAGAGTTAAGCCGGGTTAATACCACAAGCCCACACCTCCACGCTGGTACCTTCATCTCTTTCAAGCCCTGCATGTATTTGCCTTCTACGTCCTGAATCTGGTCCTTTAACTCATTGAGCTCCTGGGAAAACAGCACAAAAAAGGCAAAGGATGTCTGGGGAGAAGTGGACAGAGCACGCACATGCACACACACACATGCACACGCACACACAGACACACAGATGCACACACACATGCACACACACATTCACACACAGATGCACACACGCACGCACACACATTCACACACATGCACACACACGCACACACAGATGCACACACCCAGATTCACACACGCACACACACGCACACACACATGCACAGATGCACACATGCACACACATGCACACATTCACACACATGCACACACACGCACAGATGCAGATGCACACACACACACGCACACACACATTCACACACACAGATGCACACACCCAGATTCACACACACGCACACACACACGCACAGATGCACACATGCACGCACCCACACACGCACCCACATGCACACACACAGATGCACACACGCACACATATGCATGCACACACACTTCTGGGTGGTTTCTGTTATTTGGGTAGTCTGAGTACTCATTTTATTAAATGCTAAGAGAAAATAAAATGCATTTCAATAGAACAAAGAGTAAGAAAGGTGCACCTCACGATATACAATTTTATAAAGTTTAGCTACATCTTGTATGATTTTACAGTTTTTAAAAACCAAGCAAAAGAGCTTCTGAAAGTGGGTGCCAGGTGTTTCACTCCCGGGTAGCAGCCCCTTGAAGCGCTCCTGACTTCCTGCTCTGTGCAAGGTGCAGCAACAGGCCAGGGCAGCCATCAGCAAGCTGCGGCCCTGCAGCCCCGAGCTCCGTCTGCCCCTCATCCGTCTCGGTCACCACCAACGCTGGACGCCCACAAGTGCTCTCTGAGCACACGAAGGGCACACACAACCCCGGAGCAGAGACAGACTACGCACTCTGCCTCCAGGTAGGAGAGGGGCGACAGACTGTGCTGGGGCCGCAGGAGGTGGGAAAGCACTGAGGGCCCTGGCACGGGGCGCTCTGGGAAGGGCGCTCAGTGAACCACCCTTCTCAGCCGCACGAGACGCAGGAGCTGACAGCGTCGTCACGGTGCCCCCGCCCGGCCTCGGCAGGCGCTTTCATCCGTTCTCTCCCCTCCTGGGCGGGTGCCACCCAGCTGCTCAGACACCACCACTGGGTGTCTGAAGTTCTAGAAAACTCCAGCAATGAAGCCAGTGGGACTCCTTCCAGCACCCCGCCCTGGCTCGGCCCTCAGGAGGACACTGGCACCTGGTCTCAGTCCCTCTGGCCCGCCCTGCTTGCAGGTGCACTGTCCCTAAGTCACACACAGTCGGAGCTGTGCCGGTTGCCTCGCACACACAGGGGCTGTGACCGAGTGCCCGGCACATCCTGCGAACCGAGGACGTAACCCAGAAGGACCAGCTCCGCTGGGAGAGAAACAGAAAACCAGCGCCCGATGGGGACGTCTACTAAAGGCACGATACGAGAGAGGACAGGACGCCCTCTGGGCCCAAGGCGAGGACACGCAGACGGCAAGGCCCTGTCGAAGCAGGGTCAGGAACAGGAAGTTATCCCACGTCTAAGTTTTCCCAAATGTGGACTGAATTCTACACACGCTGGGCATACAGACGAGATATAATCAGCGCCAGTAGGGTAGGCCCGGGCACTGAGCAGGCGGACAGGGCGCCGTGTGCTCCCTGCTGGGCTGGGGCTGGTCAGGGCCATCTCCCTGATCTCGGTGTCACGGGAACACCTTGTTGTTTTGTTTTGTTTTTGTTTTTGTTTGTTTTGACAGGCAGAATTAGACAGTGAGAGAGAGAGAAAGGTCTTCCTTCCTTTGGTTCACCCCCCAAATGGCCGCTATGGCCAGCACTGCGCCAATCCAAAGCCAGGAGCCAGGTGCTTCCTCCTGGTCTCCATGCAGGTGCAGGGCCCAAGGACCTGGGCCATCCTCCACTGCATTCCCGGGCCACAGCAGAGAGCCGGACTGGAAGAGGAGCAACTGGGACAGAATCCGGTGCCCCGACCGGACTAGAACCCGGGGTGCCGGCACTGCAGGCGGAGGATTAGCCTAGTGAGCCGCGGCACCGGCCGAGAACACCCTGTTTTAGGGGAGGCAGGTGAGACAGCACGGAGGAGAAAGATCCGGGCTTTACGGACTAGATCTTTCCTTGGAGAACCAATTTTCACACAAGGTTCTTTTGCGTTGTAAGCGAGTACAGTGTCTTACCTTAATTTCCCTAATGGAGGCCTCGGTGTCGAGGGAGATGGAGGTGTCTCCGCTTCCTCTCCGGGAGGACGTCCCGCCCAGGGAGGCCAGCGTGGCTGCGGACAATCCCGGCATGTTCCGGGATCCCTGGAATGTCGTGAGGAACAAGTGTGACTTCAGAGAAAATCAAATTACTACCAGTCGAACGGTGCCCTGTCTTCGCTCTGATTCAATTCCCCACAGGGTCTTCCAGGGCCCACGGACAGCAGTAAGGACAGTTCTCCCAGAGGCCCCTCGTGGACGCGCTGGGGTTTGTGGGGAGTAACCTGAAGCTCCGTGGCCGGGCCCGTGGTAGAAGCCTCGTCCACAGGAGTCCACACACAACCTGGATGTGAGTCCCCTGGGGACTGCTCAGGGCCCGAGACATCACGCTCCCCATTCCAGGCACTCACAGAAGGGTCTGGTCCCTTCCGCCCGTAACCCGGGGCCCTGCAGGTCTACGGTGGGATCCCACAGGGCACACAGAATCCCTACCTTCTCAGCAAAGTCCTTTTCTGGTCTCTCTTCAACCTGCAGAGGGAAAGGACACATCGTAAAGACGTAAGAGCACTTCACTGACAATACGCATGACGGGAAGAATAACACATTAGCTCCTTCGTAGTTAACAAACTGAAATGCGGGACTGAGTTTGGCTTTTCCCATCTTTCCCACGTGGGTGTCTCCCTGGACCCCGCCCCTCATCTCAGTGAGACCCAGGGCGGCCTGCGGAGCTCTGAGGAGGGTGTGTGTGGGCGCTGAACCCCGAGAGGGACCCCTGGACTTGAGGACCAGACGCCGCGCCAGCACGTTTCCTCCTCCTCTGCCCAGCCCCCAGCGAGCGGCCACGTTTCTTTCTGTCCCTCCGTTCCCTGAGCCACTGAGGGCTTCAGGGGTTGAGTCTGTCCCCGACTCCCTGGCTGGCGACAGTCCGGCTTCCCTTCAGGCCTCCGAGCCTCCTTCCTGCAGCTCAGACGCTCGCTGATCCCCAGGGCACATCAAAGACCCGTGCGGCAAACGCAGGCCGCTTCTCAGTGCAGCAGACTGGGAGTGGCCTGGGCCGCCGCCGCCACCCTCGCGTGCTCACACGGCAGCCGGCTCAGGCAGTGCTCTGAGCAATCCTGACCCCACTCTGTCACGACACATAAGCCGGGTGACGCTCACGGTCTGACCGGAGGGCAGTGATGTCCAACAACCGCTTGCCGTCTTCTCCCCACCCTGAGTCTGTGCTGGGCCAGACGGCCACATCCTCCCCCTCCCCGCTCCGGCGTCCCCCAGCCTTGCCACCCTCCTCCTGCTTCCCAAGTCCTCAAGTCTTCAGCTTCCTCTCCAAGGACCAGACACCTACAGCAAGTGTTAGGGTGACACAACACAGTCGCAGCTCATCAGCCGAGCGGGGACAACAAATGGAACCTCCACAATGCTGCACCGGTACAGGAACAGGCAAATCCCCAAATCAGCGTTAGCTCAGGACGCCAAGATCCAGGGCCTTCCGCTCAGCAGCTCCGAGTGCAACCCCAGGGTCTGGCGCCCAAACCCACCACATGGTCTCCGGCCTGCCCACACTCAAGTCTTCAGCATGAACTTCCTGCTCTCATCTAAGTGTGCTAAACCGGCAGAGAGACCACAGCCTCCAGGCAGGAGGGGCGGCCCCCAGGGCAGGCGGGCTTGGCCTCGCTCCCGGGTCTGTCATAAGCCCCTTGCATGGTGTTCTCCTGCCCGGGGCAGCCCCTGCTCTCCACGAGGCCACGGGCCCTGGGGTCTCACGTGGCTCTCCCGCATTCCCTGGAGCCTGTGAAGCCGGCTCCCTGTCTCCAGCAGGACCACACCAGCTCCTGTTTGCTAACGTGTGGGCGATCCCGTGAGACGGCCTGCCCTGCAGGAGGTGGAGAGGGCTTGGCGCACTTGCCTCCTGGGAGGGCGCCCGAAGCCTGGCTGCTGGCAGGCGGCGGGAGCCCCGGGCACATTTCCCCCCACCCCGCCTTCTGCCAATCAGGAAAACTGCTCCTGGGTGTGGCCCAGGCCCACCAGGAAGCGACCCTAGCTATGTGACCTTCAAGCTCACTGGAGAGGCGTATTGGCGCCAGTGTCGTTCTGTCCTATAGAGTTAGTGTCGCCCTGATTTGGTTACGCCCCTTCTGCCTGCCCTTTAAAACCGTACGGGGTTATTAATAAAGAGGACGTGCTCACCAAAGCCTGTCCCCGGCGCTTCTCGTGGAAGAACACCATCGCCCACTGTCCCCGACGGCGCGGCCTCGCAGGACCAGTCCGCACTAACGTGTGCTTAGGATGTGTGAAAATGCACGTCCGGTACTTGTGCCTTCGTAGAGGTCCATGCCACACCCGCCTAACTGCATATTTCGGGCACTGAGGTAGCCCTGGCCAGCCCCGCTCCAGGTTCCGAGTCTGATGACAACCTGAGCGTCTCAAGTGCGGTTCTTTCCTCCACTTGGCAATAAAAATATTTCTCAAACTAAAACTTCAGGGCTGGGGTTGTGGTGCAGCGGTGGAGCTGCCACTTGCAGTGCCGGTATCCCATATGGACACCAGTTCAAGTCCCGGCTGCTTTACTTCTTTTTTTTTTTTTTTTTTTTTTTTTTGGCAGGCAGAGTGGACAGTGAGAGAGAGAGACAGAGAGAAAGGTCTTCCTTTGTTGTTGGTTCACCCTCCAGTGGCCGCCGCGGCCAGCGCACTGCGGCCAGCGCACCACGCTGATCCGATGGCAGGAGCCAGGTACTTCTCCTGGTCTCCCATGCAGGTGCAGGGCCCAAGCACTTGGGCCATCCTCCACTGCACTCCCTGGCCACAGCAGAGGGCTGGCCTGGAAGAGGGGCAACCGGGACAGAATCCGGCGCCCTGACCGGGACTAGAACCCGGTGTGCCGGCGCCGCAAGGTGGAGGATTAGCCTAGTGAGCCGCGGCGCCAGCCCCGGCTGCTTTACTTCTGATCCAGTTCCTGCTACGGCCTGGGAGAGCAGCAGCAGATGGCCCAAGTGCTTGGGCCCCTGCACCATGTGGGAGACCTGGGAGAAGCCCCAGGCACCTGGCTTCCGATTGGCCCAGCTCCAGCTGTTGCAGCCATATGGGGAGTGAACCAGCAGATGGAAGATCTCTCTCTCTGCCTCCGTAACTCCGCCTTTCAAATAAATAAATAAATGCTTAAAAAAAAAACCTCAAAGAACTAAGGAAAAGTAAGTTACCCAGCCCCAACTCTGCTAGGGAGTCCACTCACTGGACCTCCTGGGCCCAAGGCCTCCATTCCTTAGAAGAAACTAGTTTGCAGAACCAGTATTAATGAGATGAAAATCAAGAAGCCTGGGGCTGGCGCCGTGGCTCACTTGGCTGATCCTCCACCTGCGGCGCTGGCATCCCATATGGGTGCCAGGTTCTAGTCCCGGTTGCTCCTCTTCCAGGCCAGCTCTCTGCTGTGGCCCAGGAAGGCAGTGGATGATGGCCCGAGTGCTTAGGCCCTGCACCCGTGTCAGAGACCATGAAGAGGCACCTGGCTCCTGGTTTCTGATCAGCGCAGCTCTGGCCGTGGCGGCCATTTGGGGGGTGAACCAGTGGAGGGAAGACCTGTCTCTCTCTGTCTAACTCTCTCTGTCAAAAAAAAAAAAAAAAAAAAAGGCAAGAAAATCAAGAGGCCGATTTAACACCAGAGGGACACGGATGTCCAGCTGAAGGACTGGCAGGCCCCCATGTCCTCAGCCTGCCCGCTGCTGTCCGGCCCGCTGCGGCCATCATCAGGCACTGCGTCCTCAGCCCGCCCGCTGCTGTCCAGCCCACTGCAGCCCGGGCAGAGCTTCTGACTTCTCACCAGCAACAGGCAAAGGCCGAGCGCAGCCAGGAGGCCCCAGGCACCCACGTGTTCACCTACAAAGACCTGCGCCCACAGAACAAGGCCCCTGCCCAGGTTTTTTTTTTTTTTTTAATTTCTTCTAAGAAAGATGGAAAAGAACAGACACCGGACCAAGAGACACTGGTTTGGGCTGGGGCCAGGAGGCCTCGGGTGCATCCCTGTCTGCACTGGCACTGGACTCTTTTAGACTCTGCTTGCGTAACCTGAAAAATGCCAAACAAAGGAGAAAGCTCCCGAAGCAGAGCTTGTTCTTCCTGCGGTGCTTCTTTCAAGCCGCTGCTCTCAAGTCCGTAACAGACTCAGAATGAACAAATGTGGAGCAGGTTCTTCAGTGGAGTCAACGCAAGGCTAAAAATCTTCTCTCTCGGGGGACCGGCACTGTGGCATAGTGGGTAAAGCCACTGCCTGCACTGCCAGCATCCCATATGGGCACCGGTTCAAGTCCTGGCTGCTCCACTTCCAACCTGGCTCTCTGCTGTGGCCTGGGAAAGCAGTGGAAGATGGCCCAAGTCCTTGGGCCCCTGCACCCACGGGGGAGACCCGGAAGAAGCTCCTGGCTCCTGGCTTCAGACAGGCCCAGCTCTGTCCGTTGCGGCCACTTGGGGAGTGAACCATCGGATGGAAGACCTCTCTCTTTCTCTCTCTCTCTCTCTCTGCTTCTGTCTCTCTGTAACTCTGCCTTTCACATAATAAATAAATAAATCTTTACAAGAAATTTCATCTCTCACAGAAATGCACACTGAGCCAGTCTTTACATATTAAATTCCATTTTGTTTGCTTCTTGAGAGGGACATGCGAGTGTATGTGCCAGCTTTTCTTAAGTATAAGGAGTCCTAGGAGGGGCTGGAGCCTGGGCAGTGGGTCAGGCCGAGAGAGGCTGTCGGGCAGCTAGACCCCGCTCACAGAGCACCCTGAAACAGCCCCTGAAACACGGGGACAGGTGAGCAAGTCAGATGGTGTGCCTAAATTTGACATAAATCGCTAAATTTTATTTCTGAAAATAACTGAGAAATTGAACACAAGAAAGGACTGTTAAACACTGTCAGGGTGGCCACAGGCCTGGTATTGGGACCACTGTGGCAGGGAAGCCACCAGAGGGGGCTGTGGAGCACAGCGAGACCCAAGGGATGCCATGGCTGCCGCTGGGCGGAGAGGGTTCTGGTCCCTACCAGCCTGGGACCTGCGGTAGGGCCACCGGACTCTGTGAACATCGTCCCCACCACGGACCAGCGTGGGATGAGCCAACAGACCCTAACACTGATGCGGGACAGGCCACCAGACTCTGTGACCATTGTCTGCACCATGGACCAGCATGGGAAGAGTCAACAGACCCTAACGCTGATGTGGGACAGGCCACCAGACTCTGTGACCATTGTCCCCACCACGGACCAGCGTGGGATGAGCCAACAGACCCTAACACTGATGTGGGACAGGCCACCAGACTCTGTGACCATTGTCCCCACCACGGACCAGCATGGGACGAGTCAACAGACCCTAACACTGATGCGGGACAGGCCACCAGACTCTGTGACCATTGTCTGCACCATGGACCAGCATGGGAAGAGTCAACAGACCCTAACGCTGATGTGGGACAGGCCACCAGACTCTGTGACCATTGTCCCCACCACGGACCAGCATGGGACGAGTCAACAGACCCTAACACTGATGCGGGACA